CAGTGAAGGAGGAAAAAAGTTCTACATTAAAAACATACACACACACACATACACACACACACACACGCACGTCTTTTACTCTGATTCTCTCTTCATAGTTTCTCATGCTTTCCTTGCATTGCCTCTCCATTAATCTCTCACACACACACACACACACACACACACACACATTCTTCAAGGCAGCAGATGGACTCGTGCCAGCCATATTTCTTATAGTTCCTTTTGTCTTTGAAGCTCTTTGGACCAAATTGTTCCACTGATCATAAATGTCATATCATCCTTTCTCTTCCCCTCTCTCTCCATCTCTTTCTCCTTCTGTGCCTTTGTTCTGTAATTGGCTGTGTGTGTGTGTGTGTGTGAGTGTGTGTGTAGCTGTATGTGCGTTAGATCAAATAGTATGTTTATCATTTGACTCCTATCTTAAGTGCCCTGTATACCTCAACTAATGCCACTTCTTCGGTCCCTCTCTCTCTTTTTCCCGTTCTCCCTGTCTGTCTCTCATCCTCTTGTCTTCCTCTTCCCTCTGCAGAGACCTGAGTGAAAACCAGATTCAGGCAGTTCCAAGAAAGGCTTTCAGAGGGATCACCGGTGTCAAGAACCTGTAAGCACAATTATTATAATTCTCTTTTTCATCTTCTCCTCTCCACTACCTGTCACATGTGTATCGTATATTACTGCATCAGAAACTGTTCATAAATACCTAAACATTTTTGCATTTTCTCTGGATTATTACACAATCATGAAGCACAAAATCACATTTAGACTTCATCCATTTAATTGCTCCTGTGTTTATATATTCAACTTCATTAAATGTGAACAAAATACAACTTTAATAAAAACAGGATTTTCTATAGTTCATATAATAGATTGTTTGTGTTTACTATATGCTACTATATGCTAACTTTAAGTTAAATCCAGTCAGCTGCATGAATGGATTTCTTGGTTAGGGCTGCTCGATTATGGCAAAAATGATAATCACAATTATTTTCACTGGAATTGAGATCTCGATTATTTGACGATATTTATTTAACAATAACAATGTGTTGAATAATGACTTTAAAGATTGTCAAAAAATAATATAAAATAGTGCAAATACTGATAACAGTGCAAATGTTTGCAATATAAGAAATAAATGAAAAATGTAAACATCTATGTTTAGTGAACTTTGCAGTGTTGCT